CTAATATAAAAATTAGGTAACACCTAATAGCGGAGCTCCAATAGCAATATAGAAGCTGAAAATGATTATCTAGTACTGCTATTTCAAAGGTAGATGCTCTGTTCTAAGGAATGTGAGCTACAACAGTTTTGTTGACATGCGAACAAATATTATAAAGAGAATGTTTATGAGAATTTAGTTCGTACTATTATATTGACTTCGGTAGATTTTGTTCCGTTGGATGAAGTTTAAAATTATAATTAAAAGTAAACTGAAAGCTTCTCGGCAAAAAGTAGTCTACATAAGCTTACAATAATCAACATTGTTTCAATAATCGATGTTTGAACCCGGACTACTCGAACTTCACATATCACAGAAAACTGTATACAAAAATATATTTTTTACCTTCATTATCGAACTTCCGATAAATTATCGTTCAAAGGTCATCTTCAACAGAGCCATACTTGTTTCAAGCATAGGTTTCATCAATTTATTAAGTCATTCAAGACTGTAGATTCTTTGTTTTTAATCTCTCTCAATCTAACTGCTAGCATGGTCTTGGATTCGAAATGTCCATACTTTTAGTCGACAAAAGAACTTCGCATAGATCCCTGCTTTTTCCCATATTGGTCCATGTTATTGAAGTATTATTTCCAATAAAATATCATCTCTTTCTTGTTGTCTAAATATCAAAGTAAAATCCTTTTTTCTAATATCACTTTTAAGATGGGCCTAAATTGCTTTTCATCTTCGCAAATCGATTTCCCGGATGTGCGGACGCGTCGAATGAAGTTATGACAAAATTGGCGTATTTCGCTCTTCAGTGGATTTTTTCCTTGTGATGACTTGTTCTAGTATTATCAATATGTAATATAAATGTTTAAGGAAAAAAATTCTATTTTTCAACAAATACTTGGCGCTTTGTTTCCTTTTCGAGCGGAGTATGGGTTTCCTGTGGTGGTACACAGAATCCAGGACGGAAGGAAACGTGCGTACGCGCGGGAACCCTGTGTCGGTCCACGGAAAATCGACTCGATGGTATACCATTTTTTCTTAGCTATGATGCTCCGCTCGCGCGGGCCTTCGGCCCACTTGTCTCCATTATTGTACAATTTAACCATCACTATAGATAATGATAGTTCTAATGCTTGTAGCTCATTGCTATAGTATCTGTCTAGCAATCCTAATGGAAAGGAGACTGAGCTCCAAACCTTATAGTACATGTATGTACGGTTAATTAAAATAGCTTTTTCATCAATTGATGGTTGTACAGCCTTTTGCAAAAATTATGAGAATTGTTGAAATATCTAAATATCATAATATCAAGTGCATGATCCCGCGCGATGCCCTTAGTYCMTTGTCTKTGTTGTTTAGTTTTTTTTGGCGACGTACTTATCAGTAGTTCTGAACATTTTCTCGATGTCAACAATGAATTATTCTAGCAAACCCGCGTGTTCCGGACAATATATGGATATGGATATTATGATATTTAGATATTTAGACAATTCTCATAATTTTTGCAAAAGGCTGTAATTAGCTGTATATGATATACATGTATATCATGCCTATGTTTTTTTCTCTTTATATTAAATGCAACCCATTGTTTTCAGCTCCACCTGGCAGACCTACTCTTCAAGTCAATAAGAAAACATTTTGTCTCAATGCAACTGTTAATATGACTTGTACTGCAAAGACTGGAAATCCACCAAACACCACTGTAGTATTTTACAGAAACAATGAAAAGATCAGAGAAGTGAAGAATAATGTAGAAGCAACAGCAATGGTTACCATCAATCTGGATAAAGCAGGAGAAGAAACCTTCACTTGTCAAGTTGAAAACATCGCTGGATCATCTCAAAACAGTACTTTGTTAAATCTTACGGTAAAAGGTAAATTGATTTCAAAATCTTAACTGTGATAATATTATTATGAAAATATAATTTTTTTGTGCTCAACTTTGTAAAATGGCAGTCTGAAAATAAAGTACTGTAATTTGTTCAAGCACTCTACTGTCTTTCACCCACAGACATTCATAAATACATATATGTTATTTACCCGCTGGGAGGTCCGTATAGGAAATAACTGCCTGAGGTCTTGACAGTACAGAACAAGGGCAGCGAGGTCCGTACATAACAGACTGAGGGCAGTGTTTTCCTGTACAGCACGACCTATAGCCGGTAAATAACATTTTTATTCTTTTTATTTGTATTTTATGCAACTTTGTCGCAGCCTAGCTGCAGGATACCGTCAGACCAGGCAGATCATGAAAAACCGAACCACGTGCGCTAGCCAATCACAGCACGCAAATAACTAGGATACCGGACCAAAAAAAAATAAAGTAAATTATCACATTATGGCAATAGAAAGTTGAAATATTGAAATCAAAATAGTAGTCATGCATGCCAATGAATTTTGAATGTGTGTGGACAAACAGATGCTAGTAAAATTAATAATTTGTACTATTTATTTCTGTATTATACAGTGGGGGAAATAAGAATCAAAGCGTATTGAAAGATCGAAAATCCTAA